TTTTCGTCAAAGTACCGAGCAAATAATTTTGACCTACTTATCACGATATCGCTATTTACCTTCGCTAATCATATCCGTATTTGTGAAGGAATGTTTACAGGATGGATTGGGCCTATGAGAGGATGCTTTAAAATGTTATGAAATAAATGTGGATTATTCATATGTTACACATGTGCGTTTTCATCTAGTTTGTATCGAATGGTTCTGAAGATGATTTGCAAGAGTTTGTTGAATGTTGAATGTGCATGTACATTTTGCAGTCCTCATGTAATGCAATGAAGTTTTTCGTGAATACTTCTTGAGAAGTTAACTGTGAAATTTCTAGCAAACACTCTTTCAGTTGTTAAATCTTTTCTCTTCAGAACGCAACATTTGTTCTCGGTTCTCTTGTCACGAAATTGCTCCATAACAAAACTCTTAAGGTCGAACTTGGTTTTCTATAAATATGAATTGCAATTGGTCAATGAATTGAACCGAGCAACTGTTTTTGATATATTTCGAATTATGGGTTGGCATCTGAAAGTGCTCTAGTTGAATCTCATTAGAACTATGCTTCGCTAGAATACAGCACAATAAATGAGTATGCTTTTAACTAAGGTCGATAGTTTAAGATGAACGAGGAGGATATTCTTGAACAGTTCAAGCATTTGCAAGATTTATGAAAAAATTGTTGTGTTGAACCACGCTTAATAATAGATTATTCATTGTTGATGATGACATTTATTGGGTCTGGTGAATGGATACTGAGATGCACCGCGCCGCCTTCACTCTCCATACATCATCAATATCCTTACGCTTTCGTTTTCTTCGTAGCGAACCCTTTCAGTTGTTGAATCTCTCTCTCTCTCTGATTAGAACGGAAGATTTGTTCTCGGTTCTCAATTCACGATTTTCGTTCGTTTCATGACTGCTTATAATCAGTGATGAGCAATGTGCGCGTGTGCGGTGAGTGGCTCGTGCTTGCAAACGTGAACAGTCAGCAAGCGACCGCTTTTGTCCTGAGCAGCTCAAACCAAACTTGTCACAAATCAGCATGCGGGCTGAAAATTTCATGAGCACACAATGAGCAGCACCTTCTTACGCATGTCCCCGTCACTACTTCGTTATAATCAGTAGTGGTGATAATTAGAGAGATAGGATTTATTGTTGGTATCATCCTCAATTTTGCGATCGCTATTACTGACATATTAAGTGGTGTTATGTTTTCATTGCCGTTATCATTACTGTTTCTCCTTAAATCAGTCATCTATTTATGTGGTATTAGTATCGAATTCGGAACTCACCATTTTTCAAGGATTTAAACGGGCACAGTAATTATGTGCTGTTTCATTTCTGTTAGCAGTGAGTTTGTTTTTTTTTNAAACCATTTATGTCATGATTATGGGCGATGTATCAATCTTCCATAACGATAGAGCGTTCCTTGTTGTTTTTTTTTATGAACACATCGCAATCACTATATAGCAAAATACGATGCTAATCGTGCGCATCGCAACACTGCCCATATCTGACGACCACTATTACTATAGCTCATAATTAGTGTCTCCAATGAATATTCAAATGATCGCAATTGTTTACGCAGAATTCTGTCAAGCATCCATGGGAATTGATCAGTCGCTGACGTGAGTTCTTACCTGCTTCTCTTTACTTACAGCATCGATTATGATTGTCGGTTACAGAAAATTTTACGGATCTGTTGCCTCATGATCATTTATTTATTCATAGTGTGCTGCCGCTGCATCTAAGCTCGTCATCTTTCCGGCTGAAGTGTTTACCAAGAAAACCGTGCGCTTCTCCTTCACTTCACTTTAACAAGCTTTTACATATGTTCAGTGCATATTTTTCCTATTTATTTCACTATTATTATACTATATTCAGTCGTGCATTTATCCTCTCATCGATGTATGCTCAGGAATACAGTGAAGCGAGAATAAACAAAATAAGATTGATGCTATAAACTGGCCGTTTAGCAATTAATGGTTCAGTGACCAAGTTTCGAGTGGGACAGTAGCGTGATGAATTGAAATGACGATAAAACGGAATCAGAGACGAGAATGCAAGTGACAGTGAGAGAAGTACTGATAAACTGAGTCTGCTTCTGCTAGAAGCACAATGCCGAATTCACTGACTCAGGAGGAAGTGCGAACCAGTAAATTCAATCAGTGGCACGCCAATAAGGTCAGCTAGCTTTCTCAATGCCGTGCTTCCTCAACATTAAATCAAATACCCATCTCGTTCCATCGAAGTTGACTCAAACACAAGTGCATAACAAAGCGTGCATCAAAAGATGAATAGATGCATGGCCGTTGGCATGATATCATGTTAAACGTGTAGTGTTTTGATTATGCCTCCCAAATGACTGAAAAGATGTTGATGAACCAATTGACGATTAACAATTGAACTTTTTAAGTTCGAAAAACAGGGTAAAATACGTAACGTCTTACAATGGTGCGAAGGTTTATGTTATAAGGACAGAGCGTGTTTCGAGAACTGACTTTAAAAGGCTCAATATGTTTTAAGGACTGACTTTAATGGAGCATATTAGCTGGCTTGTGGTGTTTCTGTCGTCGAATTGATGATACAAATACGAAGTCGCAACTCTCACTTGGGAAATTCAGTCGTTTCTACAAAAGCCTTTCAATCAGTGCTTTAATCGTGCTGATTGCAAAAGCACTCTTTTTGGATATGCTGAGCGCAAGAATGTTCAGTCGCAGACATAATACGTCAGTAATTTAGAGCAAACAGCAATAACGCAGAGTGAGCAAATGGCGATACGCCGGAAATATTAGGGCGATGAGAAGGAGCAGCATGATTTCAAGAGCAAATAATCGTTTTGAGCCCGCAAGCATCGAGAACACAATCTGTGCCATGCACTCATGATCAGCTCTACATAAATACTCTTACAAACATTTCATACACCTGTTTACTTAGTCCGTAGAACCATGCAACAAGCATATACTATTAGTACGCAAAATTGTTCAAGCCAAATATGTAATTATGTTTGATTGATTTACATCAATCTTCATCACGCACGTTTCATAAAGAATTTGAATTGTGCTCTCACCCACCCACCGCTTAAAAATTGGCTTTGGAATTCCTTGATATGGACGGTAAAAAGAATTCCAAATGAGCTGCTCTTTGAATTTCATATAGTGAGGTATTGCAGTTAGTGATTTCTAATTTTTCTGCTGTTGAAGTAAGTCGAATCTCATCACTGATTTAAGAATGAATTGAAATCAATACTCGGTAAACATTTCGAATCAGATCAAAACATTGATATTTTAAATCACATAAATTTTCAACGAAGGGAATGCACTAAAGGAACTGCAGATTCTACAATAAAAAAATTCTCAGTTCTGCTGACATAACCAGTTGATGATGTTCTCGACACTCTCCAGCGCGTGATAAAACTGCTTAAATAAATCTCATTTAATTTGCGTGATGAATTAATTTTATCCTAATACTGTCAGACGTTCTTTTTCATGAGTCAATTTCACAGTGCTCACTTGCACTTTTTGTCACTCTCTTTTATCACTTCAAAAGCAGTGAGAATGACGATTTAAATTGGATATCGAAAGAACATCATGCTGTCTGGTGCACTCTTTCAATTGAAACTGACATGGTGTGTGAGGAAAAAAGAGTCCTTGAAATTAGAAAGAACTCACTGGAATATTCATTTACTATTTACATTGAATTCGATGTGTTCCACAAAAAGGAAGAAAGATTTATGAGAGTGATATTATTAACACATCAACTCATTCGTTGTCGATGCCCTGAAAGCATAATGCACAAATTTCTTTCATCGAGCACTTCTTTGCCCATCTTATAAGTTATATTCATCTGATTATCATCATTATGCTGGCTGTTTATTCAGCCCTAAAACGATTTCTATATATCCTCCATTTTCATCTCGGCTTTCTGGTCGTTCACCATTCATAAACCACCCAGACTGTGTTTATATTAAACTTATTGTTTCCACTGTTTTGATGCTGTCATAAATATTTTTATGTGAACGTTTCAGTCGTATTTGCATTATAAAGGCGTCCATAGTCCGTAAAGAGATAGATCTGGACTGAGAACGAGTCTGTTTCAATCACACCATTATTGGATAAATTGTAAAGGAAGCCGATGAAAGTTCACAGAAGTGCACTGAGAAACTGTTTCCAAATTTGATAATCGCGTTATCGCCAATACGTCTACACTTTTCAGCCATACGTCAGATCATATCCCTAGGGAGAGGAATGTTTCGAAGAAATACTCCAATAAATCAACCATCAAAAGAGCACATTTCAGTCAGAAATGAATTATGATGCTGACAGACATGAGTAACAGCATTGATAAATTTATTGATGCTATCATAACAAAACACAACTGAATCCACAAATCTAACGCCCTCAAATCTGAAACAAAACACTCTCAAAGCACATTCATTGACAACTGGTCATTGCGCTTCGCATGCGCTCTTCTTTATGAGTTGGAATCTAATTTTTTGTTGCATCCTTGTTCAATAATTCGAAATGCTCCTGATGCTTTTTGAATAATTAGAATAATTCGCAATGCTCCTCTCATCCGTGATGCTTCTTGCTTAAGAAATGCCAGTCGACCACTCTTTCATTCTTATTATAATGTCCTTTCTTATAATGACAAGTTTTTCGCATACCAACTCATCTGAATTAATTGTTCGTACGGCAAAATCAGTGAATAATCAGGGTATTAAACACTTCATTTGCTTTATCAGCTTGTGAATGAATATAAATTTTTGCATCGTAACATTTTGAATTGTCGAACTGTGATCTGGAAAGTGGAGTTGCGTTGTTATTGAACTGTTTTATATCACAGTCCATACATTCAATTTTAGCGTTGAAACGCTGACTTTAGTGTGTATTTGAAGGTTAGCATCGACTTCTCGGAATAAATTCGAACAGTTTGCTTGCACTTAAGATGCGTGTATTTGCTGTTGAACACTTCTTATTCTTCAATTGTTTTCGTGTAAACGTTTTTAGATGACTGAAAACTCTTGCACCAGCGACACAACAACGGGCTCGTCGCATCGTGGTTTCAGTCAGAAAGCGAGGGGTATTTTACTTGAATCTCATGTTGTGCCAGAAAAGGTTAGTGCATTTCAACTGTACTGTAGGGTCTTTTTTGGATTTATGCGATTCCATACCGAAATTGACGCTATTATCTGTTGCTTTACTGATTATATTCATTGCGTAGAAGTATCACGTATATTCATTACGTAAAAGAAAATCTGATTGAAAAGCCTACTTCTTCAAAATGAAATTAATCGAAATGAATGTGTCTAAGAGAGGTGTATGTTCGAAGAAAAATTGAATTTGCGGACGAAAAATAGCGTTGAAATTTTTGCAGAAAATTGAAATGCTTAGTAGTAGTGATCGCCAACATATAAACATACGTTGCATGCTAAAACGAGCTCGGTTTAGAGGGCTTTGCTTCATCAAAATGAAGGATTAAGATCCATTGAATAAAATATTAATACCGTCGTGAGTGTGTGGTAGGAAATAAACAAAAAGTGATATGCTCAAGTGATTCGATTGTATACTAGACAAGCCATTAAGTGTTTATGTGCTGAACTGGAAATAGGTACTTCGAAAATACTGCTCATCCTTCGTAATATGCTTCTCGAACGCTTCAAGATGCTGTCGAACTGAATGTAATCATATTTTAAGAAGACCAACTTGATTATGTTCACGCGCGATTTTATTCATAAGCACGCGCACACACATATTAGATGTGAGAATCGCATGGAAGAAATGTTTTTTTTTNTTTTTTTTTGTGATAGTGTTCAGAAACGTGGAAGCTGCTAAAGGTTCGGAAATGGCACGGAAAGAGTTTATCAAAAAATTTCATCGATTATATCAGCTCTCATTGTTTCAGAAAATAAATTACTTAATAAATAATTTGAGAACTGCAGAAGGATTACAAAAATTTTACAATTGTTCTATTGATGTTGATCGAGAATGTATATAATGGGCTGTAAGCATGTAATCAACGAATCAATAAATAAAGTCTTGTTTATCACCAATCAATTTAAGAAAACAGTCGAAAAACGACACCACAATGTGAACAGCATCAGTCCAGCAGCACCTCATCGAGGTTTCAATCTCAAAGCTCGTGAAATACTTCTTGATAAAAAACCACCACAACCAAGACCAGGTTCTTCATCACGTTTCACTATCCTTCAGTTTTTCTGTTCTCCATCTAGGATTAATTCTCTGAAATTACCGCACTCATCATTCACGGCATCTAACTTCGCTTCCGTTCATTCAACAAAACAAAATTTCTTCTTGAAAATTTTTCCTCGCATTGAAAGTAGATTGTGAAAAAATAATCAGAAGCCTTTAATTGAGTAATAGAAAATTCTATAACCACTGTTTAATAGCGAATTTCTCTGCATAAAAAAGTGGTTCGTTCGTCATAAGCTGAGCCATTTGCAGCTGTGCTTTTATTATTCTTTGCTGTGCATGAATAAGCACATTCACATACAAACACGCATTTGTAAACATGAAAAGCCATTAAATTTTAACATTGAGTTGGCTAGGATACTCTCATGAGATTCATGCCACGCTGGGATATTTTGAATACCTCATCAATGATGGAGCCGAGCAGGTATGGTGAAATGTGAACAATTCCTTGCACAGCCGAATTTGTTGACCGATACAATGCGATTCTCAGTGCTGAGTGATGAATTGCAACTGGAATGCAAAAGTGCAAATGCAACTCCTTTGGGAATGATTCCTGAACAGTGCTTCTCATCTTGCTGAAAATGCCACCTCGAAATGCATTCGAATGATTTTATTTCCATGAAAACTACTTGATACTTACATTCAGTTTTTTTTNTTTTTTTTGAAAAAGAGATGTGAAAACAGTTGCGGTACATCTCATTACATTCACTTAAATCGCGTAATTTGTGTAGTTCAGCGAATAGTAAAGAAAACATTCTGGTTCACTACCCCTCTCTTAGAGAAACTCACAACTCATGTTTTCATCAACGGTAATGAACCTGTTCAAAGACAATGAACCCAAGAACATTTCAGATTCGTCGGCATCGATACGCATCAAAGGTGGTTCAAAAATCAACAATATTGCTTGAGAAGACAATTTTTTAATCATGTCAACACAATATGCACAATTATAACGACAAAACTGTGCAATGTGTATTTCCCTATACATTTCTGGCTGATCAAAAGCAGTCTGCCTGTCGAATAGAACATATTCGGAATACTATTCTTGGTAGACGGAAACTATCGGAATCTGCATCATTTGCTTCGTTTAATTACATATGATGAAAGAATTGACAATTAATCATTTAATTAGGTATTGTGTAATTTTTACAATTTCTGAACCGTATTTTCTTGAGAACTTTTAACGAAGCGATTGAACTTCTTCATTTTTCACTAATTTGCTTATGTTTGTTGTGCAATTATAGCAGAATAATAGCATAAAGCAGTTAAGGGAAACCAGACGTACATTAACCGTAAAATTTCTGACGTTAATTCATTTACTTGTTTCCTTACTTCATATGAGCTTGTACCTTTAATGTAAATGATGCAATTTCGATTGATATTATTCATTGAATCATGATCGGGTATCTGAATCCCCTGAATTTCGAAACTCAATGTCCACTGATCCTCTTGCATTAAGAAGCTTCTTATAGCACTCATTGTTCGGATTATTTTGGAAGGGTATTATACTTGTTTAATTTTTCGAAATTTTAGCGCTGTTGTTGAGATAGGTGTGTCGCTTATTTCCATTCATGGAAGGAATATGATTGTTGATTTTTTAAGAAGATTGAAACAAAAGGAATTCTCGAGTGTTCAAAGAACACTCGAGAATTCGTTTTTGTTTCAATATCCTATGACAGTGACGATGTAGATAAGTGATCAACCTGATAGGAATGGATCGTATTTGTTTGATGGCACTGAGTGCTTACCGTATTACTGTACGCTTGTTTTATTTTGATCTCTTGCATTCCGTATTTATTTCCCTGATCGATCATTTTTATCATTATGCAGTGATCTTCATCCTTGCTTCAAATGGTTACAAGTGCATCGAGGAAGCTTTTCCTTTCAATCGAATATCGTAGTTCATTAATAACTGCTTTGAACGATGAGCTTATTGCATTCGATAACGTGTCAGCAATAAGTCATTGTACTTCTTGGTTGGTCAATCACCGAATAGTGATCCAGTGTTTGAATAAACTTCAGCGCGATGCGATAACTATTTAATGAGGCTGAAACGCATCTCGCTATTACGGCTTTCGCAATCTGATTGTGTGATCTCAATTGCCACTTTGTTCACTAGGTAATCATCGAGTTTGTTCAAATAATCATTTATCCATCAAAGCGATTTTCCACGAATATTCTTTATCTCAATTGTGCTAATGCGTCGTTCAATAAACAAATTTCAATTTGGTTATACACGGCATGCGCACCAAACCACACCACAATCATATCCGACCCCATTTCATTTCTAAATCTACATATATTCTTAACTTCATTAGCTTTGCCTCAATCATACCCGAGTCAACAAACAACTGTTTAGGAACGTTCCCAGAACATCTTGATGCCAAAATGGCCAAACAGATTAAAGTTGAAAGTAGAACGAATGAATAAATGACACTTTTAACTATTTACTCCTCGCAATTCAACTTAGTTCAACCATAAAACCAATACTTTAATCCTCTATGATCTTTTCAATCTGATTGTATCATTTCAATTGCATAAACCACATTTATACGAATGTTTATAAACATAAAAACAATTCAAACGTAAAGAACGTCCAGAAAATGTTTCGACGAACAATTTTATCAACTATTAAAAAACACAACAAACTATACATACAATAACGTAACAATCAATCATTAATTAACGTAACGCTGAATGCTATTCATACTTTCTCACTACCCATCGTAAACTGCATTGTACATGTGAGTAGTCTATGATATGGACCAACCTACAATGAGAATGGTGCTCTTTTCCGCGAGTGTCAGCATTTTATGCTAAAGCATAAGCTGACGGCTTCATCTATACTACGCTTGCCACTGTTATAACAATTTCATGGCACGCCATGTGGGTTATCTAATTTGCTTTCCATAAGCTTCAATAGATAGGTTACGATCAAAACACTAATTCTGAATCTGTCTGAAAACTTCACTGAGCAATGGTGAACCCTTCTAAGCTGCTCTCAAGTCTGTTTAGTGAGATGAATTACTTTCACGGTTACAACGAATCTTTCTATAAAACGTCAAACAATGGATTATCACCTGTTGAACAGTCACTAATGTATAATCATTTCATGCACAGGATGACTACGCAAAAACTCATTACATGGCGTTTGAATTATGCTTCAAGAGCGCGTCATTGTTGACTAATCTGTCAAATATTTTCGAGATTTATTTTTTTTTNTTTTTTTTTAAATATATCGTTCACACGTGAATTGCACGAATATGTAACATAAATTAGCTCCCGTATGCTGTATCTACATCAGACTCACGAATATCTTTGAACTCATATTTTGTGTACGAAAGAGCGCAATGACGAAAAAAAACAGGAATCAACATTACAATTCCAGTCGTATCTCTCTTTTGCTAGAAAAGCTTTCCTCTTCATTAAGTCATTATGACGAATGTTTATAATCAGAAGTAAATATGTAACAAAGTACTAACAACATGACAATCATTTCATAAACTCTTACACTGATAAGGTACGGATTCAATCACATAATCTGGATACCGCATGCTGTCGTCTCTGATTATTTTTGAAAGATCATTGCCCAACTGGTATGTTATCGATGATATTGCATCAGTTAACTGTACCTGAAGTCGCAACAATTATGAGAATTAGGCCAGGTGAGCTCAGTCTTAAAATCCCCTTAATTTCAACACATATGCACATAAACATGTTTCCATTGGCTGATTTATACTTGGAACAAACATTTGAAGAATTGTGTGAGAATGCTGATCAATGAACAGTGAAAAGAAAACCTGTTCAGATATGAAATTCGCCGCTCTTCTCACAATTTCATGACATTTAGCATCCCATATCATCTTATTCGCACAACCATCAACCAATATCATCAACAATTCAATTATCTGAAAACTTGAGAAAGTTAAATGCGAATAAATTGTTAATAAATCATCCACATTATTTCCGTTTTCGGACCACTTTAAACTTTAATGGTAAATTATAAAAACACATTACTGGTTGGTCACAAGTTCAATTCAAAACGCCGTAAGTTCCTCGAGTGAGAATTATAAGCAACGAAACGAAACATCTTCAATAAACAACACACATTTGCATAAGTCTTGTTATCATCATCGAACTGACACCGATCAAGTAACGTGATAAGATGGCTGATTATCACTGACGCATCTTCAGCACTCAACTCATCAACAATTCGCTCTGTTAAAGTCTCTGGCGTCACTCGCTGATTGAGCAATTCAAGGAGCAATTCGTCACTGTTTAACTTATTCCTGAATTCGATTCACATCCAGATCATACGATCACACCTCATCTTACTCTCCAGAACAGCTGACTTGGCATTTTCAGACGCGAAACGGCATATAATTTCAGCATTACTTAGTAGTCACATCAGTGAAGAATTTTGTAACAGAAAACACCGACTGTTCAATTGATGAACTCAAATAACTTGTGAAGAAAAACAGCATGGAAAATTGTATCACTGAGTTAAAGAATGAATCTGTTAGTAACCAACAAGTTGTCAGCAGCAGTCCTCAAGCAACGAGCATAGACACTCTCGTCAATGCTCAGTGAATATCGAACTAAATGGATTATGATATCGGACCAATTCTTACGCTGTGCTAGTTCCACTATCCTTGAGCAAACTCTGTAATTAGGTGCAGTTGAAACGGCGGATAGGAAGTTATTCATTTAATAATTGTAAGTGAAATCACGACACGACTGTTCAACACGTGAACGTCAATATTTATACCATGTTTACAATACCAACATTTTTTGTTGAATGTCGCATTAATGAGACAATCCTTCTCGAAAAAACAAGATGAACTAACTCAGTGGCAGTGAAGAGCCTTTGTTGAACTAAAACTGAAAGGACAGTTTTACCATCTCCTCTGCTGTCCATGTGATTACAAATACCATTTAGCAGAGCTTGCTGACGCCACGGTGCAAACATTGTATGAAGTAATTGGGACGTCACGATTTGAATCCCTGATTCATCAGATGCTTTCAACGATTCAACTAGTTCGCGCCAAGAATGTTCAACATCCTTCAAATTTTGTATCCGATGAGATCATGCATGGTTTAAGCCAAATACATTAGAACACAAAGACAAACCAGAACGGAAAAAACTAAATGGATTTATTATCAGTGGATAAGACTGTTCCTGGAAACGACCAGCTATTTTTTCGAAACTTATTTAACTTATCATTTCATTTGTCAATAAAATAAACTGAATTTTGGTTTGTGGAAATAAATGTTAATCATCAACATGTGCGCTCTTCAAGAAAAATACTATCTCCAGTGTATTTTGCCATCAGTGAACTGTAAAGACAGGGTGGCCATATTTTTCACTCATAAAGTGGTGGATCCGATACCAATAGTAAATTATTTCATCAAGGAAATCAACTATCCAGACATCAAACGGATAACTGGACATGAAGACGTTTGTACTCCTTAAAACGCTTAACATCTATGATAGCCATGGCTTTTTAAGTGCCATCCAAACTGATAAATCCGAAATTATTGACGATGCGAATTATGAAAATAAAAATTATTGGCCAATATACTTGTGCATTGATAATATTTATGACAGCGGTCGTTACTGCATCTGTTGCAAATAAGTGATGATCCTTCGAAAAAGATTTAAGAACAGGACACGGTTCAACCTTCGACCTCATACTTCTCAATCGCGCCAATAACATATCATCCATACTGAAAGGATCCCATATCATACCAACAATCAACACCTCTGACATTCTTTTCCTATACGATCATGACCAATGATAAAAACAGCAAACTGACCATCTTATCCACTTTGAGGAAGAGGCAAGTGATCAAAACTTATTTTAAAAAACAAAATATTGACAACAACAATTGAAAAAAAGCTAACTTGATGGCAATTTTTGCTACATTGTCGACGCCAGTTAATTGAACGATACCATCTCCACTCGAATATTTTACCTGAACAGCATCCACCCATTAATCACCATTATAATCCATTTCTCACGAAAACAGTCAGGACACCTTTCAGTCCAAACTTATAATTTTTAAATCACAATCAAATATAAAGAAGCTGAAAACAACATACAAGAACACAAACAATCAAAACTTCACATCAAGAGGTAATTCCGCTTCAGGCCATAACAAGCTCTTCTCAGCTAGAGCTTCTTCTTCATGACCAGTAGAGTATAACTTCAAAACGACCTTCTGATGAGATTCTGAAAGGTTGAAGGATATTTGCATGGGAAATGTGATATTAACAATATGGAAGGAAAATGTGATATTAGAGGATGGCGCGAATTCAAAAACGTTCCATTCAAGGACTTCATCGGAAAAAACCTCTAATCACCAAACAGATCAGAGAAACTGAGGAATATTACAATCATGCATAACACCTAGGAATACTATAATTATCAGTGTATCGTCAAAAATATTAAATATCATTCATTAACCAAAAAGAGCATAACTAATGTTGCTATCAAAACATCAGTGTGTTAAAATACGGAAAATTCTCAAAATTGGTTCTCGAAAACATCTTTTACCAAATCAAGAGAATAATAAAGAACAAATTTCGAATGGCACAAACACGGAACGCATAAATTATTTCGATTACTTCGAAACTGGAACAAACCTTTTTCCTGCTTCCCATCGAAACTGACTGTGAGATGAAATGCACTGTTGAGTGGACAGCACAGTTTGTTGTCCATTACTTCTCGTAAAAACCCGCAAAACGTCACCCAAAAACAATTCCTTGGGTGCTCACTTCAAATATAAAATTGAATTAATGAGAAGGAGGCACAGAGCTGTCGCAAGTTGCCACCACGCCTAGACCGTCTGCACACTCCAACAATCGCGCCTTGGGATAAGAGCGATTGTTGGAGTGCTGCCTGAATAAAACACTATTCAGCGATGTCAGGACAATCATGTTGAATGAAAATTTTCAGGTCGCTAAAAAATGACTTGGTGAATTAGTGAGAATTACTTTAAAAATGTCTGAAGTCATCACGTACTCTTGGCGAAACAAATTTCTGCTATTAGAACAATTAATTGAATTTTCACTGCATGAACACGCATGAAATTTAACTCAACACTCATGATCTATATGAATTAGCGAATTATTTTTGTCCCGTGAATTTCAAGAAGGGAGCCTAGATTTTCCACTATTCTGGAGGATGGAGTGATCTGTTAGAAATGGGAGTGGGATTCTTTGAGTAGAGGACTGTTCAAAAAATGGATAAATCTAAGGGATGGTTATGGATTCAAGCTGTTTTTTGCGAACGAATCCAAACGAAAGAAAGTGATGGTAAAACAAAATCGTAAAAGCTCTGAACGGGTTAAGAAGTGATGCGAAATGTGTCTAAAAATTCAGAAGTTTGATCTGCATATTGCTCCAAAGTGCACTGAACACAAGTGTTTTCAGAGTTGCTCCATAATCCGATGGCTTTTTCATACCTTGCTTATAAAAGATCGTACACTATCAGAAAAGAATGCCGTTCGTCAACGGATAATGCTTGTTGCGTAAGAAATAATTAAATTTCTCAAGGTAGGTCATATGGCTCTTGCTCAATAACGTGATGAAATGAAATTTCAGTTCGGTGGAAATCCGACTGGATCGGCTTTTCAGCTCCAAATCACGGAATTCCGATCAAAATTCGTCGGATTTTTCTGATTGAACATCGGTCGGACGCCATCAATACAACAATTCTTTTATAATAATGGCAATATCATCTTCAAGATACCACCAGTCACTCATTTGAATACCTTTCGTTACTATCCACTGAGAACTTTATACCACTTAAGGAAACACGAGTTGTACAATACGAACATTTATATTTTTGGTTGGGAGGAAGAGATACCTAACGAAGCGGTAACTTAAACGTCATACATGGAAGATGTTAAATATTCATCAGCATATTTGCAGCGCAACTTTCCATGGTATTCACGAATGGTATTGGTCTGGTTCCAATCAGTTATGGCAACATATCAGACCTCCTTTGTCAGCATTACTCGTGGACTTCTCTGCCATTGAAGAAAATGTTCAATCCAATGATATAAAGAAATCATGGAGTTACTAAGCAAACCGGAGCGTACAGATGGCTCAAATATACCCACGATGAAGAGATAGTTTAAGAAATGTATTTATATATAAGAAAGTAAGCGTTTCCCAGCAAGAACTTGCATTCTCTTCATACGCATTACATTTTGTCAGTAGACATTGAATGTTCCATATACAGTATTATTCATACTCAACCGGAAAAGATGATCAGATATGTGCGAATCATTAAAACTGGACGTGAAACGATTATTTATTTAATTTCGCATGACAAATTATATCAATCACGTTTTTTTCAATTCGAATTAATGCACATTCGCAGAAGATTGTCATTTTGCTCATTTATATCGTAGGCGAATCACACGACGCCAATGTTCCTTCGTCCAACCGTAGGAACACTGATTGACTTCTGACCAAGATTCCGTATGTTGAATGAAACGAGTGAATTTTTACGTATCTAAAATCATCGTAGATGTTAAGAATTTTATATTTTGAGCCTAATAAATAATGCTCTCCAAGGAGTGGTCGAATAGTTTCCTAATGTCGAAGAGTTGTTCAAAGCAAAGGTGTTCCTAAAAAGTTTTGCAATATTCTAAAATTTATAAAAACTCTCACTGACAAGTTCTTCATAATCAGGAAGACATGCACTGTTCACAGCATCGATAAAAAGTGAATGTATTCAACTGCAGTGAGAATATGATTATTTTATTAAAAAAACTTTAATCACATTCGACGAAATCAAACGGTCGAACCCCAGGTGATGAACGGCTGTGTTGAGTACGCTGTATTGTTTTGCTTGCAAATACTCTGGGTCTCGATTGCTGTACACTCATCGGTGGTAAATCATTATCCATGAACTGCAATGAAATGTTTCGCTGATACATTCAATCTTTGTACAATTCTGGTCGACGGGATCTGAGACATTTTAGAAATACCATCAACATCAACAGGTGGAACTTACTTGTTGCACGTCATCACGCCCAAATACATCTCTTTCAACTGAAGACGTTATTCTCTCCGGGCATGGGCAGTAACTGAAATTTGCTTTATTCAACTATGTATCAAAGATATATTCAGTCGGCATTTGCTATTGGGATGTTCTCTTTTTTCAATAACTTAACATCGAATTCCTATTGATAGTGAACGACTGTGGATGAATGCGGTAATTTTGGAACATTCAAAAAAGTCGTACGACACCCTGTGATGAGCTTATCTCGTACCCGGCATCGTCTCCCGGATATCCTGCATCACCTGTGGGACCCATCACACCAGTTTCGCCTCTACGTCCTCGCGTTCCAGTTGGACCACGGGGACCATCAGGACCAAGTACGGACACACCATCGAATCCACGGAGTCCTGGTAAACCACGCAGACCAGGCTCACCAGGAGGTCCAGGACTACCTAATATGTAGATCTTAAGTGGATTTTATGATACTGCGGTTTTTGGTATCATTTGAATTTTGTAACATGTTGTGCATGTTATGGTTATATTTGACCCTGTGATGGAGATTCGGAATGTTGTGCTTGAAAAGCAATACGCTTTTTGCGAAACCTGGTGATCCTATTCCACTGATAATCATATCGCCCATTGGACCTTGTGTTCCGGGTAATCCATTTTCACCTTGCAAACCAACATCACCTGGTGGCCCTTGCTGATCACTGTTCTTGCCTGGGATGCCATCAATGCCTGCATATCCCTGCTCTCCCTTTTCACCCTTCAAAAACAATGATGATGAGAAGCATTGTAATCATATGACGAGTGCTAACACACTCTGTGATTAAATCCAATTAAACCCACTCGCAAGCCACGTTCGCCAACTGCTCCAGTGAATCCTTGTTCTCCTTGAGGACAAACGAAACACTCTTCTTCGTAAAGATACAACAGATCACCATCAATTCCGATCATTCCATCTTGTCCTGGTTCTCCATTGATTCCGTTAAGTCCAGCTTCTCCTAAAAGAATTGTTAGTATCACAAGAATGCTAATAAGAAAGGAGCAACAAAAATAATGATGAAAGCAACGAAAACTGAAGCTCGCACAGATGAGAAAATTCACAGAAACATGTTCTTGTCTTCGCTGAATATGCCTCTGAGGTCGCTCAATGTTATGTGTGCAAATGTATTTGATTGTAAACATGCACAATCGCCTGTTCACTTACCTGGTGTACCTGGTGGACCTTGACAGCGATCAGATCCAGAATCAACATTGATATATTCACTCAACGATGGAATACTGTATGTTCCGGCATAACTTGACGTCGGATATTCCGATGAACCATAATTGCCAGTTGTACCACTCATTTTCTTCTTCTTCTTCTTGGTTATTCGGCGATCATCACTGAGCACCTGCTCACGCGTCAAGCTACGGTCACCAACTGATATCCGTTTTGCGAACATTCTTCTCGATCTTGGCAGCCAAAGATTTCCTTTCAACTCATCACTCAGTGTCGTATCTTGTGGATCACTGCCACGCAACGATTTCATTTCATCTACAAAGACCATTTTATTGACTTGTTTCCATCAAAACTGATGTTCGATACTTCCGAAACGATCGTTTCAAATGGAGATTTCACTGCACTAATACATGAACGATTCATCGCATGTGATAACTTACGTTCATTCGTTTCGAAGATTTTATTTCCTTGCATTTTAAGTCTTCGAAAAACAGTCGGAATGAATCCCTTCGGTAATTGTACAGTACCATCTGCAAAATTTTGTATTAATTTCACCTTCGATGTGACTACAAATCTGAAAATTAGACGTGTGGTCAAACGATCATTTCAAACCCGAATTCATCGCATTCATCTTGTGACGTTTTGTTCGCAGATGATTTTGGATTTGCTGAATATCCCCCCATAGCTGATCTGATCTTTTCTGCAATACGTGATTTTTGTTTATGGTTCATTATTGAGTGCAAAATTGAGTTAGTCAAGTTGCTGCCATCAGACACTGAGAAGAATGTAACGAGTCAGACAGTTCGATAATACGTTATGTTTTCGGTGTGATGGTTATGAAACTGTGCCGTCTACGTGTATTCAAAGCATGATTTACCAGAATTCAAATTCTTCATTGAAGTGAGTGAACAGTTATTAGTGGAGCTGATGACATACGCTATTAATTTATTGGGTATTCAAAATGAGAAATCACCTTGAAAATGTTCATATCACTTGCAGCCTTGATTTGCATATCATTAAGTTTTATGATGAGCATAGGTACCGAAATGAAAGTTGAAACGATTGTCAACGCACTCAGCGATATACCGAATATCGCAAGCATTTGCATATTCGATACTGAAAAGAACATTAGGAAATCGGTTGAAATACTAGAACTGGGAAATATTATATTCACACTGGTTATGCCAGAAGAAAATGAAGTTTAGAACAAATTCATTTTAAATATCCCAATTTCGATGAGACATTTAAAAAATCGGTAAATCAATTCATGTTTTGCAATTGGAAGTCTCAAAGTTATTCGATGAAATGGAAACTTTAAGATAATAAGGATTAGCTTTGTTTTGCAATTGGAAGTCTCAAGGTCATAGTCAGTTTTGTTTACCGCATCGATTCGATTAAACTGTGTTGGGAATCAGCTGGTAATTTAAGATGAAAAATCTGTTCTATGGCCAAGAAGATTTTCCTTTGCAACGAAGTGGGATATCGAGGAATATTATGACATACTTCGTTTCGATGATTCATAGATGCCGTAAACGTGCTCGCGAATCGGAGACAACGACAAAACCTCATATGGTTTTTGATTTTGAAGATAATTCATCTGAAATTTGATGGAATTCCTTTTACGGTTGAAAGAAAGAAATTATTGCTCCGACTATCTGCATACATAATTTGAATATCGCAGATGTGGCAGTTAGCAAAATTAAGCACGTCAAAGTTATATGTCTCTTCCGTGAAGGAGGAGATAATTCTGCGCTCAAAATTTCATTCATTGTCAGCTGATGATCGTCATACATCGATCATCTCCAGCGAATCGCGTCATTAAATTCGGCAAAAACATAGCGCTAGTTAAAATGCAACAATGGAATCAAACTGTTCATAATAAACCTAGAAGTACTCAAGTAAAGAAGGGAGGCTAAGTGAAACAGTCCAATGAAGAACACTTGAGTGAGGGCAATTTATGCAGTGCCTATTTGCAAAATCAAATTGTACCAAGATGCGCTCACCTAAACAACCTCGAATAATACTGGAAAGAATCTGATGTTTGCGGGCGATTATGGTGAATGAATACAATCACTAAGAATTACGTTAAGAAACGCAAATGGTTGAACATGAGCTACGTAATAAAGAGGATTGCTGAATGAGGTATATAGGTCAATATTACCATAATAAGTCACTCATAAGACTCTTTTTGAGGTTAATATCACTTGAATTTACGATTGTATTCGTTATTATGCAAAGAGGAGATCGTTCGGAAAACGACCTTCTGTAATAACAAATTTTTGTGGGCAGGGATGCACCATCATTTCATAATATGAACAACGCCTTGCATACTTTGGAAAGTTAATCAGACACTCAAAAATGGATATTCAGTGGCTTGTGATGAAACTTTTGAAAGTGAAGTTGTGTTTTCCTACAGATTAATAATGGCATATTTCGGAGAATAAGTGAATGAGGTAATCGGTATTGTTGGATGACTATAATAACACAGATGCCCAGCTAGCATTGCACGGTTGGAAAAACGCATTTGATAATTTAATCTCATCCAAGGGAACATTTCGAATGCATTTCACTTTTGAAAATGTTAAAGATGCGGTCGCGTGATGCACTCCGATCACATGCCAATAACCATTGTGATGCTCGTTTGAGGGGTTTACGAGGTCAGTGAAGTGTGCTGAACATTCGAATTATCTCAACTGTTGACATTTCTTGAAGTCTTGCAGATGTTTTCTGAAGCCGTAAATAAACTGGGAAAGTATTCATGAAAATTTGCGGATAGCTTGAAAACAGAAGTGCAGTTCTTGTTTTACATGTTAGCTTGCTATTTGATGTGGTTTACGTTCGTTGAAATCGTTGCGTCGTATTTCCGACTGCCATCGTTCTTTCTCGTTTAGTGACTGATGCCAGTTACTTCCTCTGATGCTACCATCATTGTTGCAAAGTTTCCCCACCCTCAGACGATGTGTTACTTCTACAAGACTGATTAATATTCATTCAGTAACTGAGTGAAGTGAGCAATAAGAATTGGTCGTTGCTAAATTTTTATTTCGGATTTGTTGTTTAGAATCATTTCCAGTAGGTGTGATAAACGAAATCGTTATGATATATTCTTGACCAATATTCGCCTGTCTGCATGACGGATTTCTCCAGAGCATTGTTAAATACTCCATGATGAATTTATGGTCACCAAATTTGGCTAAAGATCTAATCCACTAATGCTTCATAATATCAGTTCTATTGCAGATATTCTAATAACAATTGTAATGAGCTTACGACATTTCTATGATAATAAAATGACGTGATAATTGACCGAATAATGAAATTGCCGGGTATTTCAGTGCGTTTACAGACACGCAAAATGGATTATCTGAATAAACTGCGCTCAACAGTGACATCGGTTGCTGCACAAGTAAGTAATGCGCTACCGGGTAATCCAGTCACACGCGACTATGAAATTGTATCGCAGATTGCATCTGCAGGACCGGGCCTCAGCTGGAAGATCTACGCTGCGCGCAAACATTCCACTAAGCAGGTCTCATTGCTTTCAGTTTTTGCCTTCTTTTCTTGATTCTTTCATTTATTCCACATTCCTCATGTTAATGCTTTTTCAACTAACTAGTTGCTGGAACGAACCAATAAAATCTCAGAAAATTAGAGTCAAGTAAAATTAAGTGTAATTTTCAGAAATTTTCTTAAAAAACTGAAAAATTTTCAAGCAATCTCAAAAAATTTTCTGAGCAATTTCAAAAATGATGTTTTTTTCGAAAGCTCACCATCGCTTCAGTGATTTTTAGGCTGTTGCTGTATGGCTATTCGAGAAGAAAGATTTAGATAGGTGGCCGAGACATGAAAGAGAATTATTTATTGATGTTCTTAAAAGAGGTGTATCTCAGCTAACACGGCTTAGACATCCACGTATCCTTGTTATTGAGCATCCTCTCGAAGAATCTCGGTATGCACGCTTCAACAACCACTTATTTGTTTCTTGCAGCCGGTATTGATAACTATTTGCGATTTTGACATGTTTTTAACGTATGTAAAATGTATTTGCTACGTTATTCATGAACTAAACCGATCGTTCAGAGATTCATTTGCGTTTTGTACGGAACCAATATTTGCGAGTTTGGCCAATTGTTTGGGACGATACGAAAATATCCCATCTGGCATGCCATCGCATTTGGCGGACTTCGAACTTCTGGATATTGAAATCCGGCATGGTCTTTTTCAAGTGAGTATAGTTATTGCTTTGTTCAAAGGAATAAACTGTATTTTCACGTTAGGGAAGTAGTGTAGGAATTAGCTAGAGTGCTAAAACAATGCGTTATTAATGGCAACTGCGTTATGAATGCAAGTCATACTGTGTGAGGTAAACCTGAAATGGTTGATTGATATTACATTTTGAGAGTCCTTCCTAATTCTTTCAGTTAGCTGAAGCACTGTCCTTTTTGCACATCGATGCACGTATGCTTCATCGCAATATATGCCCGGAAAGTGTCATTGTGAACGAGAAAGGTGCTTGGAAGTTGGCAGGATTCGATTTTTCCGTTCAGGCGACGACGTCTGCAAATGGACAAGTCAGTGATTCAGTTCATTGAATCAGTGTTGTCAGTTGCTTAGCAGTGAGCTTTTCTTCCGGATGACTAAAAGATGGTGTGAAAAATGAATAAATCAGTTTTTTTTNTTTTTTTTCCGAAAATTCCAAAATAATTCAACTCGAGATTTCGTTCTAAATCTTGAAATGAATATTTCAGATGCAATTTGATATGATTGAATGGAATGAGAGGACAATGTCATTAGTGCAACCATCGTTGGATTATTTGGCACCGGAATACATATTAGGTGGACGATGTGATACGTATGCCGATATATTTTCATTGGGTATTTTATCGATTGCTGTATTCAATCGTTGCCGACCACCGTTCGATCACCGAAATTCTATTGATACATTTCGAAAAAATGCTGAGAAGGTTAGTGTCATAATATTTTTCATTCATTCTATTAATATTCAGCGGTTGATTGATGATGCATATAAGAGATGTGAATACGATGTTTAACTATTCAGCGCCCATTGTTAATGTATTCAATTATTTCAGTTGAAGGCGTTGCCTAATTCAGTACTGGTCAATCTTCCAGCGCAATTGCGCGACGATGTGAAGATGTGTCTCAACTTCACACCTGATCTTCGACCTGATGCGACACAGTTTTCTAAGGTTTGCGATGACTTACATTTTGAATGAATCTTCGTGTTTCACGAGACTATTGGGTCGTCATGAAAAAGTTATAAGAAAGCATTGATATCAATGAATAAGATTACCTTGACGGTTGTGGACGAGCAGTTGGTCGTATAATTCTCTGGTGCATCTTAATTCTTAAATGAGTTGTCGGTCATAAAATCTTTTGAGGCATCTATTTATGCATCTTCAGATAATATATTTCGATGATGCAACGATGAAGACATTCAACTATCTTGACTCGTTGTGTCAAATGGATAATGCTCAAAAAATGCAGTTTTTCAAAGCGTTACCGCAAGTTTTGAAAAATTTCCCTAAGGTTTCTGAATATTTTTTTGCTTTTCAATCTGAGAATGACCATTAACTTGAAATACTGATATTAGTTCTTTTACGATGGTATTGTTTACGGTCAATCGGTCTTTTGAGTAAACCTCAGCAGTGATCAGATCGATTCGATGATTCATGAATCGAGTTGGAATGTTTTTTGTGATCAGCGTTGCCATTCAACGAGAATGTGTTCTTTCAGCGTCCTCTACTGCAAAAAGTATTACCGTACTTGTCGGCTGAATTCACGACGGCTGACTTGATTCCATTCATCTTGCCAAGTATATTTCTCATCGCTGAACAGTCGACTGACTCTGAATTTGCATCTGTTATTTTACCGCAGTTGATTCCGGTATTTTCAATGGATAGACCCTATCAAGTGAATCTTTATTGTTGCTGTTCTTAATTATTTTTTGTCGTGTTTCGTTCTCTATGAGTGCTTTTCTGTTCTGTGTGATTCGATTTTGGGTAGGATACGAAATGAAATTGGCGTTAGCCATTCGTTAGTCCGGGAATTGTTATTGTTAACTCGTAACTTTGATGAGGTGTGATTGTAATATGGAGATCTGTATTTAGAAGTGTTTTTTGATGATGAAAGACGCTAACGTTTAAATTGTGTTTTGAATTCGGAAAATATGATTCAATTGCAGATTGTATTGATGCTGTTACAAAAAATGGAATTACTTCTGCAGAAAACGCGTGAAGATGATATCAAACGATATGTTTTGCCACTTATCTATAACGCGTTATCGAACGAGATCACTAAAATACAGGTTGCTTGTTTGTATCTTTTTCCATTCAATATCATTATCAAAGTGGTTCGTCAATGTTCAGCGTTCAATTGCTGAATTCAAAATAATCAATTTGATGTCATCTGTGTGTGACTGGAATGAACTTCAGGAACTTTGTTTGTCAATAATACCGAATGTTGGTAAACTGGTGGATCGTGATTCAATGAAGACACATCTTTTACCGAAACTTTTACGTTTGGCGATGGAAGATGGAGTTTTATCGGTGAATTTTTTTGAATATTGGATTCATGGGATCGCGATTGGACATTTACCACTCTTATCAATGTTTTATCCCTCTCATTTAAATGATTCATTCCCAAGTTGAGGGGGATACGCTGAAATTCATTTTAGGTTCGAGTGCAAGCGTTGATTTGTCTTGGTAAACTGTTACCGACGTTGGAGCCATGGATGGTCTCCGATCAGATATTACCGTCATTGTCAAAGATAAATAGCAAAGAACCTGGTGTTCTGATGGCAATACTTGGTTAGTTTCTGTTTGATTGGAAATTGATTGTCATGACTTGTTAATTGAAAATGTTCATTTTGAATGACTTCGAACGGTTTCGGTTATTTATTTAAAATCGTTTTCACACTGAACGGATTACCTATCGAATTGTGCATGGTTCATTACTATTCTCCAATGTTCTTTGAAGAGCAAATCAAAAGATCTTCCCTGTTTATGATGTATACATTTGGACTGCGTTGAATATCGTATATATGAAGAAGAATTACTTTACTCTTCAAAGGTATCTATAAATTGGCATATGAGAACACTCGTTTTGGTATATCACGTGAGCAGTGTGCCAGGAGTGTTCTACCGTTCCTTATTACAACATCGGTTGAAAATACACTCAACTTGCATCAGTTTGAGCAGTTTTTCGCCATGATACACGTCATGCTGAAAAAGGTTATTTTAATTCATCTGATCAGTCTTATTGATGTATTAATCAGTTTTTGACATCAATGAATTGAAGCTATTCAGAAATTATTGTAAAATTACTTTTGTGGGCAATTGGATTTTCCGAATAAAAGCGATGTATACTTTTAACGGGGAAGTGATGTAAACGTGGTTATTTGTAAGATTTCAAAGAATTGAGCTCACTGTGTGATCTAACAATACAGGTAGAAACCGAGCAACGACAACGACTTGAGCAATTAAGTGCGAGTCAAGAAGAGCAGCGTAATATACTCGATTTCAATGAAGTGATTGCGAACACTGAAGCGAAGAGAAACGTGGTTAGTTGAACAATTCGAAATTCATTCGTGAATCCGTGATTGAGTATTGCTGAAACGAAACATTAGTGATGGATACTTATGTTGAGATTTTTTGTGTTACTGAACAGTTCGGAGCTGTTTCTTTGCGTCAATATTTCTTTATTCAGTATGTGATGAAATTGGGTGGTTTTACTGTTCTAGGAGTCCAAGACTGTTGATGGGCTTGCCGAATTATACAATGGAGTAATTGGTGCATCTTTGGCTCCTTCTACAGCTAACAACACAAGAAAGACTGCAGTTAATATATTTTTCTCCGAAATTTGTTCAAGCAAATTTATGAGACAATTCATCTTTTAAACTTGATTATCTCATCAAATCATTCGGAATATCTGACATTTTATTTGTTTTATTGATTTCTAAAGACAACTTTGAGACGTATATAATCTGGTAACTGAATTTTTTGATACATTCCGGAATTTTTTCCATGATTCATTGTCACTAGTCGTACACTTTCGTTGATCTGTACTGCTAAATCTACCAATTCGAAGGGGCCGTTGAGTTTGGAAGAGAAGAAGCGTTTAGCTGCTGAACAAGAGCAGAATGTGCGTATGCGAGCACAGCCAAGTATTCTGCAACCGTCCTCTGGTCAGAGTGCTTCAGTCTCCAAAAATATATCAATCTCAAATCAGATGAAGCCTGTCCCAAAATCAGCATTACCCATGGATTCGTTACTGGATTCACCTCTGACGACGTCACTTCTTCCGCCGTCAACACTCGCAGCAAATCAAACATCCGCCAGCGTAGCTACACCGGCCATTGATCTGTCTGAATTCCTGACTCCTTCGTTGAGTAAAGCAAGCATGCCAGCAGTCAAGGTGAGCAGCTGTACATGAAATGATTAGGTCATTGAATGATGTTGTGCGCGCTTGTTTGGATAGTGTACGAGTTGGGACGTTAGCTGCGCTTTGAATGCAACCAAAATGTATCGTCAAGCTTTTTCAAAAACGATTTCGCTCTCTTCATCGTATAGATCGTCGATCATTCAATTCGTCGCTTTCATTGTTTTGTTTTGTTTTATTTACTCAGCCATCAATATTCGCTGGGAATAAAAGGCTCTTTTTCATAGCAAAACAAGTATCACTGATTTAATTTACGTGTCCAGTTTAGCCGATCCCCCTCTCCCTCATTCTCGGCCTTCTTCCGTTCCTTTTGCAAACCCTCGATTATTTGTTCACCCCATAGTAAAGGATGGGAATAAATAGAAATTTATTTCAGAACACGCCACAAGTAATGTCTAGCGGCAGCAATTCGTCCAATTACATCAACTTTCCTGCGACGCCTGCATTTGGAGCAGCACCGAGCATTGAGCAGCAATTTGGTGGTAACTTGAACTTCTCTTCGTCGTCCTCCTCAGCGATATCCGCTCTTCCTCAACCACCACAATCACAAAATCCTGTACACCGTCAGAGTATGTCATCAACTGGAAGGGGAACATTGCAGTCATCATTTACAAATCTTCGACCGAATCATCCGACGTCATCGTCGAATTCTGCAAAACGGGATTTATCCGCGTTCGATAATCTGTTGTCCTTTCAAAAATCTTCGTTCAATTCGTCCTCTAGTGCTGGCAATATGCCAGTGAATAACATGATGATGATACAATCGAAAAATCTCAACGTTCCTTTCGAACAAAAACCAAAGAAGATCACTACAAATGGTAAGGATCCCTTTGCGAATCTGTTCACTTGAATAATGTATAATTTACGAGTTTTTTGTATGGCAACATGATGATACGTCGTTGGTGGATTTGGTACTTTTTTTGGGGTGCTACTGCAAAGAATAACGGTTGCGATTTTTCTGTGTCGAATTTGTGTCATTCTTTGTTTGTTTTTTATTCAGTAGCCATTATCGTATTACGGATAAAAATGTGAGCAATTGCATTGTATTTATCGTTCATTTCCATTTATTCATGTATGCTTGTATATGTGCATGTGTTGTGTATATTTTGTGATAGTTCATCGTAGTATCTTAAATGAGTGGATTATTGTTCGTCTCGTTTCACTGAATCATTTATATTGTGACGTTGAGATAATTCGTTTAGATGTCTTGAATAATTAGTTGTACATGGCTCTCTACAAACTTTTACGCTTTATTCTATCGTCTCATCGTATCTGTATCACGAATCTGAAAGGAAAAGTAACTGCAACGCGATTCGATCGAGGAAATTGCGATCAGTCTTTGATATAGTCTCCACAGCAATTGGTCTTATTCATCTGTTACCGATGAGAACATTCCTACTTTACCATGTCGTTTTCGCTTTTCAGTTCACTTTTCCTTTTTACAAAATAAGGTACAGGTAGACATTCGTATGATTTCATGAAATTAAGTTAAAGGAAATTGAATTGTTTCGTGGTGGATTACAGTTTCTTAACGAATATTTGGATTGCACATAGTTAATTTAATGTAAGTGCTGAAACGTTTCGTAACAAGTGTTCAAAAACAAAGTACGTATCTTTCACTGGTTTCATTTTCTCAAAAAGTTCCTACAATGTCTCAGCATCCAACTGAATTTGTTCGTTTTATTTATCTTCTGGAATAAAGAACCCGCAATTACAACCTAGTCACATTTCTGAGTTGAAATCGTGGAGCACTTTGCGTATGATCAGTGCGCCAGGCTTGCTTATGGCATCACGATTTCATTAGTCGATTTCAGAATACACAATAGTATGGTATTGTACTGTGTTATGAGACTAAATTTGACTGCCTTTTGTTGTGATGATCTATGAATGTGAAAAGTTCATTTGATTTTCATATTCAATAACTTGAGCTTATAATTCACAAATAATATCTTTCTTCAGGTTGTTCTAACGTGAAAACTTTCATCAATGAATCTTCATAATTGCGTCTGAATTGGCTCAAAATATTTTTCATATTGAATTTTTTGCGATCATCGGCGAACTCTTGCCGGATGGATGGATTTGAATGTGAATCAGCCGTAAGCCAATCGTAATAAAATTACAATAGCTTTATACCGCAAAACTTACTCGTCGTATGTTCCAACAAAATGCAACGTTCCAGAGAAGCTAATGAATTTCGTTTATGAATTCCTATCTAATCGTGAGTGTATGTCAAAAGCAAATAGGAAATGTTTAAAAGTAATGAAGTTGCATAGAAAAGAGGTAAAATCAATGACTGTATTCATCAGTAACGTTGAATATTCCCTTCTTCAGACGACACTTCGATAATCTCCGTTGAAGGAGGTTTTTTAATAGGTTCTTGCTTTGGAGAGGTTCTGATATCATCTTCGGGCGACGTTTTATTGGTTCTCTTCTTGCAATGAAGCTTGTTCATGCACGCATTGAACAGATATGGTGGTATTGCGATAACTACGCATGACAGTAGTATCAAGCAGGAGCCAATCAAGAAGAATTGCGTTACCCGCATACCACGGAACAGGACGTCGATTGCTGAAATTATTTCATCATTTTGTGATGCTGTTGTATCAAGTTGCTGAGCAAACTTGTCTTCGTATTGCTTTAAACCGTTAACATTCGGATGGTTGCATAAAGTATGGTTCGTTACTGATTATGGGCACGCTGAATTTGTTTTTATCAAATCAACAACGAGTACGCACATGGAATTTCGTTCGTCGTCATTAGTCACACTACAGCTCTAATCCCTAATTTAAAAACCTTAAATAAGTTATTAGCAAGTTTGGTATCATCAGNTCCCATTCTTTGATCATATATCTCCTCTTCACAAATTCCCACTGTTATTACTATCAAGATTTCCGCTTTCCGAGAAATCCTCTAGACTAGGGATCCCCATAGAGGCGAAATCCCTCATTTCTGGATAATTTGGGGTGTCAACGGAGTAATGGAGGGATCGGAAAATTGGTTCCGACGTTATGTGTGCCTTGACCGAGTGTTGCATGTGTGGAGGTAGTAAATTATTGCAGTGGGCGGGAGGCAGTGACTGCCTTTTAGACTATCGAAGGGGTAATGGAGCACCCGAGCGTGCGAACCACTGCTCTAAGCATTGATATCATCATAATTCTGATCAACACGTGACTTATTGATCAAGTCATCACACAGTTATCACATTAAATAATACCTGCACTGATGGGTATACCGAAAAGCATACCAATTGAGATTACCAACGGATGCAACAAAGCAATGCCAAAATTCGTCAAGAAATTGAACACTGAAATTCATTATTAGATGATTTTGAGCGCTGATCGATTGCCGTTGGTGGTGTTTATGTGATAGTGAAGACATCTAGAAGTGCTTTGAAACGGTGAGTCAGTTAAAGCGCGATCTGTTTAAGGTTTCGGTTTCGATGGCAGACTGACGAAAGATTGAAAACGTCCTGGAAAGTGTTCACTGTACTGCTGATACATCAAGAACCGGCAGTAATTCCATTACATTGAAGCTCATGCATACTGATCGTTATCGAACAGCTTCCATCAAATGGTAGGAAATTCGAATAAGTTATTTTGTCAGAGAAGATCAAGTTCTTAATGTTTTCGTCATTTTGCTCGTTCCATTAGGTGTTTTGCTGTGTTATATTTAGAAGAAGTCCCCCACATTGATAATACCCTTAATTAGTTTGTAAACTGACTAAGGTTGAGCAGTGCTGCTCCAATAATCGGCAACCATGGCACCATATTCCACTGAAGAGTTTCAGTAGCAGTAAGTGTAAGAGCAAGAACCGGTATGATATTAACGAACATGTTCATCAGGCCAAGACCCGACATAAACATCGATACTTGACCGAGTGTTGCATCACCAATCACTCGTTTAAAAAATACCTGAAATATTCGAGTTTGAATTAGGACGATTACTGAAACTATCACAAAAAAGGATGCAATTGTTGCAAGATGTAATTGTTTAAATGTAATTGTTGAAAAAGGGATTCAATTGCTGCAAGATGGCATATGTGAACGATTTTGCTGAGGAATGTGAGACCCTCATGCAATAAATCTGAAATTCTTACAGCAAACATATGAAACAATGATTTTGCCTCGGAACAAATGTTTCTGGTTGTTTTACAAATGCTGCACTTGTGAGATGAATAAACCCTGTAAAAAAANAAAAAAATAGAAACTGAATAACACCTTGTAAAAAGCGGCCATAATCGCAGATAATATGGCCAGACATATGCCAGTGGCGTTCGCAACGAACTCTTTATCCATCGATATCGTCATAACTCCTGCGACTGCGGCCGCAATGGATATCAACTGTAAATTTAGAGCTGTGCCCTATCTGTGCTTTTATCACTCCGTCGGAAAATTTTCTCCTTCATCAGTCGTTCAAAAATGAATTGATCAACGGGGCTATTGCGATTAACTGCAGCAAAATTACGTTTATTGTAAATGAAATAATTGAGATAAACTAGGCTTAGGAATTGGGGACATTTGGACGGGGATCGCGCTCCATGAGTGCACGCTGAGTTGTCAGGTGATCCCGTACAACGGAGCTGCAACGCCTGGTTTGGTGGGTGGTAATAGATGCATTTATCGCAACTCTATTTGAATTACGATAAATGCACATATTATTCACGCTACTACCCACCAAACCCGGCGTTGTCACAACTCTATGTGCACGACAACTCCTCTATTTGAGAGTAAATCCCTTCATCCCAAAAATTTATGACATTGATAAAAGCACAGTGAAAATATGGTTCGTTTTAACTGAATTTTAGGCTTTTGAATGCCTTTGTTATGTAATCCACTATTCACCTGATTTGATTCTCTGAAATGATCCCCATCTGAATGATAATCCGTTTGAAATGAGACCGCACCTATCGTTCTATCCTCCATTTCCAAAATTACCATTGTTACTTAAACTTACCACGAGCATCAAATTCAAAATACCATGACAAAGGCATTGAGAAGCCGTAGGCCAGACCAGAGACATAATGATTTTTTCCGCAATGCTAAACATTCCAGATCCTCTAGTTTCAGAAAAAGCATATGCTGTTGAGCGGCTTTGTATGGCTTTATGAAAATAGCTGAATATCTGAAGGACAACTTCAAAAGACAGACAAGTGAAGCTAGCAGCAGTTTATCATGTTCTTGACTTTCATTTTAACGATCAATGAGACCGCACCTATCATTTGGCAGGAAACCCCGAGAATGAAAGGTGACGATCTGATGTGACGAGGCATATCGCAAAATGGAGCCTGGACCCTGGATTTGCGGGAGGCGATCGGGTGATCCCCTATTCCTGTTCTTAAGTCTATAAACAACTGAAAACAATAAAAGTGAGCACGAACCCGAAATGGAACAAATTTATCGCGAAGGATAATCCAACCCAATACGCAAACCATTGCCGCATTACTGCTCATAATTGTTGCTGTCGCACTCGCTGAGATGTTACCCAGCGACTGTGAATACGAATAATTTGCACCGGTCCAGAAGAATAAAAACAGCGATGTTCTTAGAACGTAAGACGTGAATGTAAGTCCTTGACGGCCATATACTTTGCTTGCTTCGCTGCAATGCTATGATGTTCTCATATACATAATGATATCTTCAGTAATTTCCACATGGAACTTCTTATACGGATGCATGTGGCAATCTTTTTTTCAAATGAATAAACAATTTAGGTAGGTGGAGTGATCTCACACTAGGTGGGGAGGGGGGAGCTGATCAGTACGATTCATTTAAAAGACTAACTCATGCGCTGCTTGAATCGCGTCTGATTTCAGACCCTTACTGATCACAACGTAAACCATGTAAACAGGATAACAAGTTGACATGAAGTTAGTGCTGAACCAAACCATAACGAGTGGTGCATAGAAATGTGATTTGTTAAGATTTAAGGCCGATTTACTGAATTGAGTACTGAATGCCCACGAAAACGCGACACACAGCATTACTATTGAACTGATCAATATCTGAAAGATTTACTGCACTCAGTTCACTTGAAACCTCTTCACGTCTTTACATTGTGAATAGGAATATTTTGGTTCGGATTTGTGTAACTCTAAATTAACGCGAAATATTGCTTGTGCATTTTTTGCAGGCACACATAGCTTGATTCGATTGTTACAGACAGAGGAATATGGCTGAATGCAAGTTAGAATTGAATTCATATAGAGTATTATGATCTGTAAATTCTTCGTGATGAACTGTAAATTCTCGAGTACGAATGAACTCTGACATGATGAATGAAAAATTAATGGAATAACCTCACGAAGAGTGCTGTGTTTGACTGCACTTAAGGCAGCCGGTGGTTCAATTATAGGACAGTTCGTTTCAATTGTCTCATAACCGCTGCTCTTCGGTACCACAATCGCTCTTGATTCCTTACCCATACTTGAACTGAAATTCGAGGACAATAGCTTTGCGAACTGATGCAGTTGACGTGAACATCACCATCACACAGTTTGATGTTGAGTTACCACTAACCATAAATGTTTTGCGCTAAGCAATAACTGAGAATATATACGAGTATGCAAAGTTTGCAATGATATTACACGTTACCAATAACGGAGCAATTTCTTAACAACTGATAAAAAGTGCACCTTTCTCAACCACTGTACGAAAGAGTCAACGACATTCCGGAGTTAACAAATAATTTGCAGGGAGAAACCAAATAACAGATGGTAACTGTTATGGATTATTTGTCATTGTTATGAATTATTTGAAAGGAAAAGGATTTTCAAAAAGATCTCAATGAATGAATGAACTTATAGAGTTTGTTAGTGAATGAAATCGAATGATATCTGCTGTACGCATGACAGTGTTTACTGAATGAACGTTGTGCATGTCTTACGTATTCACATGTCAAAGTAATGTCACATGCTCACTGAACCAATACAAAGATCGCCTTTCCACCTCATTCAAGGTTTTCTTCGCAACATTCGCTTCTTTTCATCATGAATTATTTTCTTTGCAACTTTTCGTCATTCACAATTCGATGAAAAGCTGCAAAGGAAGATTCACTCTCTATCGGCAACATTTTGTTCATTCAATGGGAGCAGTGATGACTGAATGTTTGCGATGCTCTCCGTTTCATAATAAACGATCACAACGGATGTTTCCAATTTTATAAGAGTGCAAAGTCATGTAAACAACTTCAATTATTTGTCGCAAGCTAGAAGTCATCAAAATCGACTGCATATCAATTTTTACAGTTTATGCAGAGTTACGAGAAAAACGGCACAAAATTTGTAGGGAATACATTGAAGCATCTTCAAGATAAAGCAAAGAAAAAGAGACCATGCGTCAATTTCGAACATCTCGAAGTGATTCGCTGAGTTGTATTTCAGCTGATTGTGAATCGGTTCCATTAGTGCATCGGAATCTAATAACTTTTAACTTTTTCACTTTACTGCTGCATTCAATGCAAAAAACGCTGCTTCATTGTTATAGGCTAATCACAGTGGACAAAATGCAACGAATAAATCCAACTTGGAACAAATCATTTCGTGCACAGGATCTGGATTAGTATCATCAGTTCCATCGTTCAAGTTCGTTTGGTCTCTGGAATTAGATTGGTATACATTCTGATGCAGCTGTGATGATGTGGAAGTCATGATATGCATCGAAGCGTCTAATCAAACCGTATTCTGATGAAAAATAACCTCAGACGTCGAAAAATTCGAATGGATTCGGTATGAAAATATTCAAAAAATCTGAAATTCGAAAGTGTACTCAAATGTATCACAAGAAGAACAATAGCATCGATTTTATTAATATTGAAGTTTTTCAGTGCATCAATAAGTAACGATACAAAGTGAATTGATATGTGTAGTGGATAGTATTGATATGTTTAAATGGTATCGACAAAAAGTGTGACTCGATATGATGAGCATTGAATAATTTGGCATGGCAATATGTGCATATCAATGAGAAATACTTCGTAAACACAACGAAATTAATGTCAATATGGTCGCATTTTTAATCAAATTCAAATAAATGTAATAGAATGGTACGCAACAGTGAATACTTAATAAACTGAATGGAATTCCACACAAAATCGAATAACACGAATTCAGGCGACTCAAGTGTTTAATGATCTATCAGTGTGCCGATAATACGTGATTGATACTCGTCAACATCACGACCTAATAAAAATCGTTTGGCTCCTAACTTTTATTTGGTTGGTCCTGAAATTTGATGGACATATATCGCTTGGTGAAATCTTGCCCATTCCTACGTGCAGTGACTCTAACCGCGTTTGCCATTAACTTCGATTGTTTTCAGTTTTGAATAGTCGCAGAAATGATCTTCCTGTTCACCTCTCACTGGACTCTAATGATATGCCAGTCGCATAGTTATTTCTTGTTCAAATATAGCATTTGTGATCCACTGAAGCGAATTTTGGCTACATAGTTCGAACCCTAAAATGCAAACATTCCAAATCCAATAACATCTCATACTTGTTCAACGAATTTTCTATTCATTTGCATTTGGCTACCTACAATTCACGTGTATGTAGCAGAAAACTACGATTCTTGATTTAGAATTCATCTTTCACGGAGACGTCACATGCAAATTTCGCAACGATGATGCAGCGATCGTTGAATTACTACGACAACATCACGACACAACTGGATGATAATGTTGCAAGTAGTGTTCGTCGGGGAACGGGGTCCCCGTCGGGGAACGGGGTCCACGTCGGAGACCCCGGCGGGGAACGCGAGGAGCGATCCCCCCCGCGCAATTTGCTCCCCG